TTCATTCTGATTATTTAAATCCCACTAATCTAAATCAGAGGTTAGCACTGTTTTTTCTCTAAAAGGCCAGATAGTAAATATTTTGGGCTTTTGGGCCATTTATGGTGTCTGTCACATGTTCTTCTTCCTTCTCCTTATTCTTTACTTTTTCTGAAGGCAAAAACTATTTTTAGCTTACTGGATGGAATAGAGGAGGGCATGAAATTAATTTGACCCACAGTTTACAGCTTGTTCTAAGATTTCCTTAGAATGACCAATATTCTGTTACAAACTTCTGTCAAGTTTATATTTTTTTGTTGTTATTACTTTTTATTTCTAGGACTTCATTTTGATTCTTCTTATGGGCTCCAGTTCCCTTGGGAAAGTCTCCACCTTGTCAACTATTTTCTGGACTATATTGATCACAATAATCCTAAAGTCCCTGTACGATATGTCCAGTATTTGTTTGAAAAATTATAGATGCGTTTGAAGGTATTATTCTGCTACAGAAAATATCTATCTATTTATTTATTTATTTGCCAGATTTCACCAGTATATCATCTTTGTAAGAATCTATCTACCGTCCGGGCGCGGTGGCTCAAGCCTGTAATCCCAGCACTTTGGGAGGCCGAGGCGGGTGGATAACAAGGTCAAGAGATCAAGACCATCCTGGTCAGTATGGTGAAACCCCGTCTCTACTAAAAATACAAAAAATTAGCTGGGCATGGTGGCACGTGCCTGTAATCCCAGCTACTCAGGAGGCTGAGGCAGGAGAATTGCCTGAACCCAGGAGGCGGAAGTTGCGGTGAGCCAAGATCGCGCCATTGCACTCCAGCCTGGGTAACAAGAGCGAAACTCCATCTCAAAAAAAAAAAAAAAAAAAAAAAAAAAGAATCTATCTACTACTGAGATGTAGCTTCCCAGAAGTATTTACTATCCTACATCCTTCTTAGTATGTCCTGAACACTAATTTTTGTCTCCATAGCACTGCAAGACTGCCAAAATGAGCTGCTTTTTGTTTGCTATGTCCATTTGCCCTATGGAAATTTAGATTAAGTAAATTGGTCTATAAAAGGAATGGTTCCGATTTTGCGGCTCACTTTTTTGTATGTCTTTTCATTCTGAGATCTTGATTACTCATATCCTGGCTGCTTTTGGAGTTTCCAAATTTTTTTTTTCTATTCAGCAGCGATAATTTGTCAAAGCTCTGCAAGTTTCCTTGTGTCTGAGTGGTTGTCTACCCTCTTTCTCTGCTCCTATAGTCGTTAAACAACCAATAGAGAAGTGATGAGTAAGAAGTTATGCTCGCCTTAGTGAGTTTCCATCTCTTCAGCATCCTGGCCGCTTATGTACTTGTTGCCTTATCCAGACTTTCACCTACATGTTTTATGAGAAGCAGGGCAAAGGAAATGTATACATATACACCAGGATTTAAGGATAACAGAGAAGATGCAGATGAAAGAGTGATGGAAACCTGGTGGAATATATTATAGAAGAAGATGGCAAGGACTTAACTTTCCAGGTGTTAAGTGGGAGCTTACATTTTTAATTTGGAAAGCAGAAATAATATAGAATTTACCATTGGAAAATAAAAAAGGAAATTATTCTTGCCCCATAGTTCCAATATAGAGAGGAATGTTTCTTAGGTAAACTCTCCAGTGAATATCAGGTAGTCAATGCCAAGGACCCAGGGATACTTCCCATCCCAGTGGAAGCAGGGCTACAGCACCACTATAAATGCCTACCTTTGCTTACGAAAGTGTGAATTTGGAGAGATATCAGATGATGTTTGCATAATTGAGACTTTCAGAGATATTTGGAAAGAAAGGTAAGATTGCATAATACTGGTTGGGGCTGTGAGAAGCAACATAGGAGATGAGGAATAAATTCATGCTAAGCTAAGATAAAGATGTGAAGGGAAAACACAGAGAGTTGGAAAAAAGATAAAGAACACACAGATAAACTTTGGGCATTTCAAATTTTATACCCATAAATTAACATCACTATATACATCATACATATGCAAATATCTGTTTGCATCCACAATCCTAAACATGCAGCTACAGATGAGATGCTGCGAGAAAAAAATCTGTATTGGCTCAGCTACTTTTTCTTTTTCACTTTATATGCTAGGGATCATATGTGGATATCCAGAAGTCAAGGACTATATTTTTCTGGTACTGAGAGCATAGTCAAACTTAGTAAACGAGACCAACAAGTATGATTTTGAATGAAGGAACTCATCAATGAATAAATTATAAAGCATAACCATGAATGTTGGTAGAGTTGAATTTGTTACCTTGTTTGTTTTTCATAGGACCCAAGAATAAGGTAGGAAAGCAGAAAAGAAATGCTCTTTTATATCTCCATTTCTGATGGATACCACCCAAATATGAATTCCTACAACTTCCAGGCATTTACCCCTAAAGCCTATCATTTTCACACTGTTTCCAAAATTGATACATGTAGACAGTTCAGGTTGTTTTACAACAGCATATGTCATGGGATTGGAAACAGACAGATATAAGATTAAAACATATATAGGACAGTTTATTAATCTCAACCTACTGATATTTTGGGCAACATCATTCTTTGCTCTGGGAAGTCTTCTCTTCAGGATATTTAGTAGCATCCCTGACATCTGTACACTAGATACCAGCAGCACTTACTCAAAGTTGTGATGATCACAGGTATGCTCAGACATTGTCACATATTCCCTAGGGGAAAAGTTACCCCTGATTGCACACCACTGGTGCAGAAAATCTATTCTTATTCTTACCAGTTTCAGGACATGAAATGGTGTTTATGACCGTGGGGCAAGGCAGGTAGATGGATGGAAGCTGCGGAATATGGAAGAACAGTGATTACCATGATGCAGAACTCAGAAAATTGCTGTTTGATATAAGTTCATTTTTGGATGTTAGAAATCATGGTCTCAGAGGAGAGAATAAGACCCAGTCTCATCACTGTAGCTGGCAAATATTTGGGGATCTATGAAAACATGTTGGTAGATAGACTAGATCACTATATACTTCTGGGGAATGTATAAGTGACAGGTTGGTTTGCTCAGTGTTTATTAATTAGGAAGAGTGGCTAATTCAGCTTAGGAAGGCACCAGTTCTGGAGAATGCACCTGAATAATCAGGATTGGGATTGGGATGGGCTTTCTTCTTTGGATAAAATGACAACAATCCTACCTCATGCTCTAGGTAGGACTTGAGAATGATTGAGACACTTGTCAGTTTACAAGTAGAGATATTGATCTCCAGAATCTGAAGAAGGCTATATAGAAGGCCACAGAGTGTAAGTCCTGAATGGAAACTCACCCTGTAAAGTAGGGCCACTGAGAATTTTTATTTCTGTTCTCAATTTGTACATCTTTTTCTCTTTACCAGCAATAAATTTCCTATACTATTTGTCTGTAAAACTGTAGTTGGCTTTGATCTATTTTACCTCCTCCATGGCGCTTCTTTGTCCTAATACATACTGACAATATTTTCCATTTTTTCTACCATAAAACATTTTATTCTGATTTTATTTTTTCAGTTATGTCTTCCTCACTATATTGTGAAAACATTGACCAAGTCTTATTTAAAATTTCTATCTAAATTTCTATTTAGTACCCCCAAATTTCTCTTCTTTTTGGTATTTCTCATAGGTTCCAGCTGAACAGAATTCTTTGCTAGAGGCTGTCCAGCTGGAACCTATTAGAAATAGCAAAAAGAAGATAATTTATCCTGGGTTAAAGGGACAATGATGCCTTTTTTAATATCTCCATTTCTGATGGGTACCATGCAAATACAAACTTCCACAACTTCCAGGCATTTATCCCTAAAGCCTATCATTTTCACACTATTTCTAAAGTTGTTTCATCTCAGGAAGTTACCCAGCAATAAGCTTCTTCTTTCTTGATTAAAAAAATTTTGGAATAAATAAATCTAACATTTTGTCACTCAATCTCATTGCTATATAGCAAACCATTTAATAATAATTTTATTTAGAGTTTCAAAAGGTCCAGAAAAAACATCCAGATCTGGAATTGAGGACAGCTTTGTTGGACTACCAATTTCAAGGGTACCTAACATAATATAGCATTTTCCATGCATAAGCAAGGTAAAATAGAATTTGAATACAGTAGGGCCCAGAGAATTAGAAACTCTGTAGGTGTACCTGATTGAACTTCATGAAATAATTCCCTCAATGAGTTTGAAATTTTGCATATTTGGTAGATAATTAGACCATTTCAATTTAAGATATTGCATAAACTCAAGTTTTACCCTAACTTTAAAAGTCCTCGTGCAAAATGTTTTCATCTGAGCCTTTATTCATGATACAAGATATTTTGGATGAAGATTGCTTTTGGAAGACCAAGTAAAGGTGAAAATTACATTGCTAATCACACGGGTCATGGTGGTTGTTGTTATTTCCTCTTACTCCTTTGCTTGACAAACATGTTTTCTGAGAACTTATACGTGTGAAGTTTTAGGTGCATAAATAAACAAAAGTAAGTGTGTAGTTTCTGTTTTCAGATGTATGTATGTATAATTAAGTATATGTGTTTATATATAAATAACTAAACATTAATATATGTATTAATAGATATGACATATATTAATGATCAAATTCTCTAACAGGAGAATGCATTGGATTACCTAAATTATATTTCATGTGCATTAGCTGCTATATTTGTAACACCACCAGATGCAGAGAACAAAGACATTTATGATTCTCACTTCTTACCCCGAATTACCTGATAGATAGATATCGTCTCCTCCCTCTTCTTGTTCAACCTTTTGTGGAAGAAAGGATCTGGTGAAGAGTAAGACTAACTCTATTCCTGGAACTATCTGATGTTGAGATAAGGATGGCATAAAGTGTTGATAATATCAAATGAAATAAAAGCAGTATTAAAATGCGATTTTGCATTCTACCACGAGTCTGAAGAAAGAAGAAAATGGAACAAAAATCACTAATGAGAAGCCAATTCCTAACTCTGATACACACAATCACCAATAGTAGCAGGGAGAATGGCCATTTCTAATGACACCCAGGTCAATCCTTCTTCATTCCTGCTCCAGGGCATCCCAGGGCTGGAAGATGTGCACATCTGGATTGGATTTCCTTTCTTCTTTGTGTATCTTGTTGCACTTCTGGGAAACGCTGTTATCTTGTTTGTGATCCAGACTGAGCGGAGTCTCCATGAGCCTATGTACTACTTTCTGGCCATGTTGGATTTCATTGACCTGGGCTTATCCACAGCCACCATCCCCAAAATGTTGAGCATCTTCTGGTTCAGCCTCAAGGAAATATCTTTTGGAGGCTGCCTTTCTCAGATGTTCTTTATCCATTTCTTCACTGCCATGGAGAGCATTGTGTTGGTGGCCATGGCCTTTGACCGCTACATTGCCATTTGCAAACCCCTTCGATACACCATGATCCTCACCAGCAAAATCATCAGCCTCATTGCAGGCATTGCTACTCTACGGAGCCTGTGTATGGTGGCTCCACTGGTGTTTCTTCTCCTAAGATTGCCTTTCTGTGAGCACCATATCATCCCTCATACTTATTGTGAGCACATGGGCATTGCCCGTCTGGCCTGTGCCAGCATCAAAGTCAACATAATATTTGGCCTTGGGGATGTATTTATTTTAGCATTAGATGTAATTTTTATTATGCTTTCGTATGTGAGGATCCTCTATGCAGTCTTCTGCTTGCCCTCCTGGGAGGCCCGGCTCAAAGCTCTCAATACCTGTGGCTCCCACATTGGTGTTATTTTAGCCTTTTTTACACCAGCATTTTTCTCTTTCTTGACACATCGTTTTGGCCACAATATCCCTCAATATATCCACATCCTCTTAGCCAATCTATATGTAGTTATTCCACCAGCCCTCAATCCTGTAATCTATGGGGTCAGGACAAAGCAGATTCGAAAGCAAGTATTGAGGATCTTTTTCTTAAAAGATGGTTAACCACCAGTAGTCTTAAAATGTCTAATAATTAATATTTCCTCCATATGTTCATGGTAAGGAGTGTATCACCTAAAAAGTTAGAATGTAGGTAGCAAGGGTGAATATGAACAATAATGACATTCCCTTCTCCACAACTTTTTGAGTTTAAGCATAGTAATGTGTTTATTGATGGTAATAATATAATCTGTAAAGATTGTGTCTTTTATAAAGTGCTTACACTTATATGGCTTGGTCACCCAAGGTAACCCTACAAAGGAGTTATTCTTTAGTTTTCGGATTAATAGCTTAATACTTAAGACTGTAAAATGTTTCATCTGAGGATCCAACTGTTAGTGGGGAGTAGTTAATTAAGCCATACAATTTTTAAATTTTTGCAGTTTCTGAGTCACCAAAGGGACTAGGAAAGCAATGGAATAAAATTTGTTCAGTCATTATAGGTAATTTTGGTGACAGGATTCTCAAAATATCAATGACATCAATTAATTCATTGGCACTTACTATTTTAAATAATTTACTGAAAGTGACATACTTTGTTATGTGAGCTCTATGAAAAGGTAACTGTTAAAATTTCCATTTTCATATGAGTGAACTGTAGTTCAGAAAATTCTGCAGTAACAGATTATAATTGGTAGTTTGGATCCAGATACCTAGAATAACAAAAGCAGACATTCTCTTTTTTTGCAGAAATTATTTTATGTTTTAATAAATAGCATATAAAAGATTTAGTTATGAGAGGGGACTCAAGATGGCGCTGTGAGAACAACCCAGGATTGGAGCCCGCGTTGAATTCGCAAACGGTGAGTCAGTGCTGCATTTCCAGACTGATCTTTGTTGCCCACAGAACGGGGAAACTCCCAAGTATAAAAAGACACGGGACGCCAGGCAGTAGGTCTGCCTGGCGAAGCCGGCAGCCATGGCGGCGGCCGGCCGGCCCTACCCAGCAATCCCCACAAGGCGCGCTTGTCCGGGTGCCTTGTTGAACTGGCAACCTGAGACTTGAGAGGGCTGGACTTGAGACTGAATGAGACTTGCACAGTATCCCAGCCCAGGGGATTGCAGGGACAGATCGTTTGGGATACCCAGTGGGACGAACAAAACCGCGATTTCAAACTATCCCGGGCAGACGGTCCGAGATGCTCTGTGGGGGAGGGGCGTCCACCACTACGGAGGCAACCTGCCCCAACTGATATACACGCCCACTGCTGAGGCAGCCAGCCGTTGCCAAGGCAACCCGCCTCAACTGAGATACACGCCCACTGCTGACGCAGCCTGGCGTTGCTGAGGCAACACGCTACAACTAAGAGACTCCGCCGCAGGGCGTGGCGGAGACCACAGCAGAGCTGGCAGGAACAGTGCGAATCACACAACAGCAGGGCGGAGCCTCGGCAGCCAAACAGTGGCTAGTCTGCCTTTGAGCTGGGCAGGACACCGGATCGGACATCCAAAAATAAAGCCCAAACCCCTCAACACAGAGCATTTGAGAAAAAAAAAAGGGTTGTTTAATGAGCTGTGTTGCAGCAGAATCAAACATAGCAGCCTAACAGCCCTGAATGAACAACAGAGTGCACAGCTCAGCAATTAAACCCCTATAAAGTACAAACTGTCTCCTCAAGCAGCTCCCTGGCCCCTCTATATCCAAAAGACTGTCATTAGGCAGGCATCATCCTGGGACAAAGAGAGCAGAAAAAGAAACTGGTAGCATCTCTCGCTGTGCCATGGCTACTAGAGGTGCACCCCAGACAAGCAGGGTCTGGAGCGGACCTCAACAGTCGTACAGCGAAGGGGCTAGACTGGTAGAAGGAAAACCAAGCAACAGAAATACTTCATCATCAACATTCTGGGTGTCCACTCAGAGACCCAAACGAAAAGTCAGCAACTACGCAGACGACCAGCGGACAAATCCACAAAGATGGAAAGAAACCAGCGCAAAAAGGAGGAAAACACCCGAAACCAGAACACATCGCCTCCTAGAAAGGACCAAAACTCCTCACCAGCAAGGGAACAAAGCTGGACGGAGAATGACTGTGACGAAATGACGGAATTAGACTTCAGAAGATGGATAATGAGAAACTTTTGTGAGCTAAAAGATCATGTATTAAATCAATGCAAAGAAACTAAGAACCTTGAAAAAAGATTTGAAAAAAGATTCGAGGAAATGATAACAAGAATGGATACCTTAGAGAGGAATATGAATGAATTAAAGGAGCTGAAAAACACAATACGAGAACTTCGCGAAGCAAACGCAAGTTTCAATAGCCGAATTGACCAAGCAGAAGAAAGAATATCTGAAGTCGAAGACCAACTCAATGGAATAAAACGAGAAACCAAGATCAGAGAAAAAAGCGCAAAAAGGAATGAACAAAGTCTCCAAGAAATGTGGGACTATGTGAAAAGACCTAACCTACGTTTGATAGGTGTACCAGAAGGGGAGGAAGAGAATGAATCCCAGCTGGAAAATACTCTTCAGGACATCATCCAGGAAAATTTCCCCCACCTAGCAAGACAAGCCAACACTCAATTGCAGGAAATACAGAGAACACCACAAAGATATTCCACAAGAAGAGCAACCCCAAGGCACATAATCGTCAGATTCAACAGGGTTGAAATAAAGGAGAGAATACTAAGGGCAGCCAGAGAGAAAGGTCGGGTTACCCACAAAGGGAAGCCCATCAGACTCACAGCAGATCTCTCGGCAGAAACACTACAAGCCAGAAGAGAGTGGGGGCCAATATTCAACATTCTTAAAGAAAAGAACGTTCAACCCAGAATTTCATATCCAGCCAAACTGAGCTTCAGAAGTGAAGGAAGAATAAAATCCTTTGCGAACAAGCAAGTACTCAGAGATTTTGTCACCACCAGGCCTGCTTTACAAGAGCTCCTAAAAGAGGCACTACACATAGAAAGGATCAATCAGTACCAGCCATTCCAAAATCACACTGAATGCTAAAGAGCTTCAACATAATGAAGAATCTACAACAATTTAACAGGCAAAACAGCCACTTAGAATCAAAATGGCAGTATCAAATTCACACATAACAATATTAACCCTAAATGTAAATGGACTAAATGCACCAATCAAAAGACACAGACTGGCAAATTGGATAAAAAGCAAAAACCCATCAGTGTGCTGTATCCAGGAAACCCATCTCACATGCAAGGATACACAAAGGCTCAAAATAAAGGGATGGAGGAAGATTTACCAAGCTAATGGAAAGCAAAAAAAGCAGGAGTTGCAATTCTCATCTCTGATAAAATAGACTTTAAAGCAACAAAGATCAAAAGAGACAAAGAAGGACATTACATAATGGTAAAAGGATCGATACAACAAGAAGAGCTAACGATCCTAAACATATATGGACCCAACACAGGAGCACCCAGATACATAAGGCAAGTTCTTAATGACTTACAGAAGGACTTAGACTCCCACACAATAATAGTGGGAGACTTTAACACTCCACTGTCAATACTAGACAGATCAACCAGACAGAAAATCAACAAGGATACCCAGGGCTTGAACTCAGACCTGGAGCAAGCAAACCTGGTGGACATTTACAGAACTCTCCACCCCAAATCCACAGAATACACATACTTCTCAGCACCACATCACACCTACTCTAAAATTGACCACATAATTGGAAGTAAAGCACTGCTCAACAAATGCAAAACAACTGAAATCATAACAAACAGTCTCTCAGACAGTAGTACAATCAAGTTAGAACTCAGAATTCAGAAACCGACCCAGAACCGCACAGCTTCATGGAAACTGAACAACTGGCTCTTGAATGTTGACTGGGTAAAAAACGAAATGAAGGCAGAAATAAAGAAGTTCTTCGAAACCAATGAGAATGAAGACACAACGTGCCAGAACCTCTGGGACACATTTAAAGCAGTCTCTAGAGGAAAGTATATAGCAATAAGTGCCCATATGAGGAGAATGGAGAGATCCAAAATTGACACCCTATTGTCAAAATTGAAAGAGCTAGAGGAGCAAGATAAAAAAAACTCAAAACCCAGCAGAAGACAAGAAATTACTAAGATCAGAGCTGAGCTGAAGGAGATTGAGACACGAAAAACCCTTCAAAAAATCAATAAATCCAAGAGCTGGTTTTTTGAAAAGATCAACAAAATAGACAGACCACTAGCCAGATTGATTAAAAAGAAAAGAGAGAACAACCAAATAGATGCAATAAAAAATGATAAAGGGGAAATCACCACAGATTCCACAGAAATTCAAACCATCATCAGAGAATATTACAAACAACTCTATGCACATAAACTAGTAAACCTGGAAGAAATGGATAAATTCCTGGACTCCTGTGTCCTACCAAGCCTAAACCAGGAGGAAGCTGAAACTATGAATAGACCAATAACAAGGTCTGAAGTTGAGGCAGCAATTAAGAGCCTACCTCACAAAAAAAGCCGAGGTCCAGACGGGTTCACAGCCGAATTCTACCAGACACACAAGGAGGAGCTGGTACTATTCCTTCCAAAACTGTTTCAAACAATCCAAAAAGAGGGAATCCTTCCCAAATCATTTTATGAGACCAAAATCATCCTGATACCAAAACCCGGCAGAGACCCAACGAGAAAAGAAAACTTCAGGCCAATATCCATGATGAACATAGATGCAAAAATCTTCAATAAAATATTGGCAAGCCGATTGCAACAGCAAATCAAAAAACTTATTCATCATGATCAAGTAGGATTCATCCCGGGGATGCAAGGCTGGTTCAACATACGCAAGTCTATCAACGTAATTCACCACATAAACAGAACCAAAAACAAAAACCACATGATTATCTCAATTGACGCAGAGAAGGCATTTGACAAAATTCAACAGCCCTTTATGCTAAAAACCCTCAATAACCTCGGTATCGATGGAACGTATCTCAAAGTAATAAAAGCTATTTATGACAAACCAACAGCCAATATCATACTGAATGGGCAAAAACTGGAAGCATTCCCTTTGAAATCTGGTACTAGACAAGGATGCCCTCTCT